TACATAATAATCCTCTTGGATTTCTAGATGTTTCATTGCGAGAATCGAGCTCGACCTGTCAGAAGTTTGATTCAGTTTATTAAAGAGCTTGATCTTTACCAGTACAGAGTTCGCTCTTATTCAACATATACTTCGCATAAAAGAAGACAGAAGCGAGGAGAATATTGTTCGAGGTTCGCGGCAGCGTCAAGACGCAGGAGTTCGGAGTCAACAAGATAGAGTTCGGAAGATCCACGCGAAGCCCAAGATAGTTCAAATTCAAGCCGTTTTGGTCAAATTGTAACCTACATGATTAATGCGGATCAATGCGATTATGAGCAGTAAATGACCGCATTGATCATGTTTTCTCTATAAAAACAACCTCAAACGCATGTGTTTGTAAAAAAGAGAACAACCTTTTACCTCTTACCATCAAGCAATACAACATACTCTTTCTTTTAATTTACAATTTCGCAAGGCTTTTTACTATCTTATTCTTGCCAAACTCTTTCGCTTTATTTAGTTTCTTGGTTACTTTCCTTTTCAAATCCTTATTTTCATTTGTTGATTTTAGAGTTTTTCTCCACAAAAATACTTAAAGACAATCGAGTGTGAATCGTACATCCACACTGGCAACGGTGCCAAAAAGCTTGATGCGTGTGAATTTGTGCTCCAAAACTTTTACCTGAAAGACCACACGTTAAACTGCAAGTGCACAGTAATCAGAGTAGTATTTTAGGATTGATCCCACAAAGAGTGTAGCTACGGGTTATTAGATTCAATGAAAAGATCTAGCTAAGACAAAACTAAACTTTGGAGTTTTGGTTTTGGGTTTCTTAATAACTAATGCAATGAAATAAGAAAGCAAATAATGAAATCTAAATGAACTAATGAAAGCCAAGATGATATTCGGATGTAAACTATGAGACTAAGGCGTTGGGCGTTCTAGGGTTTCTCCGGGGTTCATGATTCTCGACTAACTAGGGTTTAGATCTTTAGGGTTTTTATGTTTTCGTTCTAGTTCATAACTACGAAGGCGAATGAACGAGTTATCCTATGTTATAGAATAAGCCGGCAAATCTCCCTATACTCCGTTACTCAACTGACGCAGGCAACGACGCATAGATCGACGCATTAGGGTTGGATTCGCTAAGTACTCTAAGTCTTGTTACTCAACTTACGTAGGCAACAACATGAAGGATTGGGAACACTATGTCCGAGATTAGGTTTACCCGATTAAAGCTCTTAACCTCTTGGATCAGCGTTTGGTGATCAATCCAAACACATGCATTAAGTAAAAGATGTCCCAAAAGAATCTAAGTATGAACGAAATAACAGATCTATTAACCTAATATGATTTGAACCGTGAATCCCCTTTGAATTACCCCATAAAACCCAACAAAGAAAACTACTCGCTCATGATGCTAAGAAACGACATGGAGATGACGTAGAAAAGCATAATAAATGAATATGAATAAATAAAAGGGGGGTTCAAAGGAAACTTCTCTAGTGTCACAGAAGATACTTGTCTCCCCAAAAGTCTTGAAAGAAAAAGAAGAAGAAAGAGTAGAAGAGAAAACAATGAAGAATAAAAGAGAGAGCTTCAAAGGACGACTTCTTCGGGATGCAAGAGCTTTGACGAGGTGGAGCTAGGAGAGCTGAGAGTCTCGTCGATGGAGGCTGCGAGATCTAGGGTAGAAGGCGGTGAAGAGCTGTGTAAAGAGGCCGTACGGTTTCTTCAACTTATCTCGGTATTTATAGGCTTCGATTAGGTCAAGGGGCAAAACCGTCATTTCCCACGAAGTAGGTTAAGTGAGGCTCGAGTTTCTTGGACAGGGTACGATGTGTGATGACAGGGGTAGAGTGTGAGAAGCAGCTCGGGCATGGGCACTAACGACCGGGGGCGTCAGAAAGCATAACTTCCGATTGGCTCGTTGAAAAGCTCCGATTCCACTACGAAGTGAAACTAGACTCTCCTAGCTTTCCATAGCCATCGAGATCTCTTGATTTAGTAATCGGGAAGACCTCGAACGGACGCCATACTTCTGAGGCACAGAAACTGTCTTGAAACGGGATTTGATCGTCTTTTACTCCTTTTTGCTTGAAAACACATTATTCATTCTTGAAGCATAAATACTTGAAATCTCCAATATTTCCTGTTTTTTTCTTAGAAAACCTAAATAAAACATAGTAAAAGTGGGCTAAAATACGATGTTATCATATGTATATGGGGGTATAAATCCTGAACTTAACATGGAAGTTGTTATTATCCGGTATGATGTTTAGACTCTGGACGGTTAAATCGTTTCCTAAAAAAACAGTCAGATAGGTGAAAGGTTGCCAGATAGTTGTGAAGTGGGTACGTTACTTTTTGTGCACTCCAGATGTTTTTAATTTGTAATATGAATTTGTATGAACATTGACCGGTTGTGGGATGATTGGTTAGTTTTTTTGTATGATGCATAAAAAGTTATTTTTTGCGTCCTACAGTTGTTTTTTGTATGATTCAATATAAATTTAGATTAAAGGTCTAATACCCAACTTTAACGCCTATTATTACTAAATCAACGTTTATCGTATCTGAAATATATACAAACTTAATCAATCGAAAATGTCAAAGATATATGGTCACGCATATAATATATATGAAATAATTCTTCTCAACATATTACTTTCGAAATGATAACACAGATTTCGAGCTCTCCTGCAATAATCCATATCCGAAAAAAAAAAAAAAAAACTTAAAATAAACATGACCGTCAACGGTGAAGACGACGCTATATATACATATATACATATATACATACACACGTTTTGGTCTTTTTTTAGTTGAGATGGGTCCCTGGTGGGCTGAATTGGGTCTCACAGTTGTTGTGATTGGAAATTAGAAATTTTGAATAGGTTTGAAATTGGTGTTGGTAAACATGTTTTTTGGGTCGATTATGACAATGTAATGGACTGTAGAGGTAGATTATGTAGATAAGTCTTTTTGGTCCAAAAATCAATTTGGAAAATTGTGTATAACTGTCATAAGAGGTATAATTGTGACAAGTGGTAAAACTGTTATAACTGAGGTAAGTTGTATAACTGTTCGAAGTGATATATAACTGGTACAACTGAAAAAAGGTATAACTGTGGCAATTTATTATGTGCTAATGTAAATTTTTTTTTTTTTCAGGAGTGTAGATGTAGGATTCACACTCGATTATCTTTAAGTATTTCAGTGGAGAAAAACTCTTAAAATCAGTAAAAGAATATAGGAATTCGAAAGGAAAATTAACCAAGAAACAAGGAGAGAAAATTGATACGAATAAAATGTGTAAAGCCTTGCGAAAGTATAAGAGAAAAAAGTAAGTTGTATTGCTTTGTAATAGTGTGTAATAATCTTAGAGATGTCTCCCAAACACATGCGTTTGAGGTTGTTTTTATAGAGAAAACATGATCAATGCGGTCATTTACTGCTCATAATCGCATTGATCCACATTAATCATGTAAGTTACAATTTTGACCGAAACGGCTTGAATTTGAACTATTTTGGGCTTCGCATGGATCTTTCGAACTCTTTCTTGCTGACTCCGAACTCCCGCGTTTTGACGCTACCGTGAGCCTCGAACAGTATTCTCCTCGCTTCGGCTTTTCTCTATACGAACTGTCTGTCGAATAAGAGCGAACTCCATACTGGCAAGGATCGAGCTCTTCTACTAGACTGAACCGAACTCCCGACAGGTTAAGCTCGATTCTTATAATAAAATATCTTTAATTCCAAGAGGATTATTATGTAAGAATGACGTGGACAGATCCAAGTGGATCCTACCGAGAATGTGTGGGATCCGACCCCAACATTTAGCCCCCCAAGTCTTGCGAGCTGAGTGCTCGGCTTGGAAGACTTAAGTAAACAGTAATTAATGAATTTAGATCTTTAACATTCTGGAATTACTCCCTATTTTACGCTATTACGCCGATCTCGGATAATTAAATGATTTGATATCCCTGACAACCATCATCATTAATTTCCTAATTTTATATTAATACTGCGGGGAAAACTGTCCCACTTCCCAATATTTTCGAGGCGGTCTTCCATCATACTTTAAGGTTCTAAGAGATAATATTACTTTTCCATCTTATCTTCTTTACCTAGAAAACTTTCATTCTTATTACAGAGCTCGTAATTGTTTTCTTTCGGGAAAGAACCCCTTTCGTAAAATGTCGAACCTCCCTTCTGAATTTCGTGAATATGAGGCTGAAGATCTCGAAGCTCTCATAGGTGAGGGAACCAAACCATATATCCAAATTGGAGGCGGGTTTGATCTTCACCCTCAGAGTCAATCGACTGTTGATTCTCTCAACGATCTCCGTCGCTTATGTCACATTCCCCCGCGAGGTGGAGATGGTGGTCCCGGAGCATTACGAGTCTCCGGAGTCGGAGCGAGAGGGTTATTGCTGCGCCTATGAAATTTATTTCAAAGGGTGTGGCTTGTTCCTTCCCCTTCCTGAGATACTTCTTACCTACCTCAACCATCTGGGAATCGCCTTCTCTCAGATGTCGCCCAACATGCTCCGGTATCTTATGTGTACTTTCACTGTTGCGGTGGAGGCGGGCTACTCGCTGGGACTTAGCGAGCTCTTGGAATTATTCCAGGCTCGCGAATCCCAAACTTCTGGGTATTATGCCCTTTATCCGATCGCAGATCGAAACCTTATTGATGGCCTGCCTTTAAAAGACAACGCATGGAGGAAATTTTGGATCTTCTTCCGTATAAATAGTTTTTCCGTTCAGAGTTCTTCCGAACTCCTTCGAATTCACTGGTCATCGAATTTGGGTAGAAACTAGGACTTAACTGAATAAGTTTCCCAAGCTATTTCGAACCGCGTTAATACTTTTTCGTTTTTCCGCAGGTCCCCAACTTTGGCCAGTTCCTTCTATCGATTTTTTAAACTTTTACCGGGCCGTCCTGGAGAGGACAGTTAATTGGAATTCTTTTACTTTGGAGAGAATTCATGGTGCCGGACATTCTGTCAGAATGGGCCTCACTCACCCCATCGACCCTCCTCCTGCTGAGATTGATCTCTCGAGTTTGAATGCTCGAGATAGGAGAAGGATCAGAGAAGCAGACAAGAAGGTCAAAGACCAGATTTCCTTGATTGGAAGAGACATGAAAATTACATCTTCCGCCGGGGATGACAAGATCTGCCAGAAAACTCTTCTAGTTGACGACGGATCTCTTGAAGGTTCAAAGTCAATGGCGGTCACCATAAACAATGCTCCTTCCTCTACCCCAGCAGCTGACAACATGGTCGCTGCCACTGCTGCAGAAGGAGGTCCTTTAGATGCCTCCTCTTTTATGAAGAAGAGGAAGGCCGAGGGACCTGAACCCCCGCTTTAGGGAAGGTCCAAGAGCACGAGGAAAACCGAAGCCATTTCTTCAAGTCTTCTAATTCTTGAATCTGCTGACGTTCAAGGTAGAAATCCCGATTCAGGAATTGTTTTTAGAAAGTCGCTGAGTTCAGGGATGCTACCCCCTAGGCGTCCTAGAGGTAATACCTCTAGAGCTCGATCATCTCCGAGCTCGGGACTCGTTGCCAGAGTTTCATCTCCATCAGGTAATCCTCAATTAACCTTTTGATACTGGAGATTAACTGATTTTTTTAAGGAATTCTATATTCATATGAATATCTTTACTTTAGATAAAGAGAAGATTGGAAACATCTTTAGATGTTTCCACACTCGCTCTGGGAAGAAACTTCCGTCCTTTGGGCACTGGAGGGATGACATCAAGAAGATGTATATCAGTCATTCATTCCACTCCTCTCAGGTTTGACTGTTTGAATCTGTAAACATTGATTTTGAATCTCCTTTTTCTTATCGCATCTCATTTTATCAGGCAACCCTGGATGTGAACAGCATCATCAACCATTACGAAGAGGAGCTTACCAAAGTTTCCAAGAGAGCTGCTATTGCCGAAGGAGAGATTGAGAAACTCCAATCTTCCAACCAGCTTGCGAAGGAGACGATTGGTCTCGACTCGGCTCGTCAGAAAGAAATCGAGCAACTCGAAAGATCTAGCGAGGAGACAAGGAAGATTTTGACTGAGACAGAGCAAAAGCTGAAAACTGCCCTTGCTGATCATAACTTCGCAAAGGGCGAGATCGAGCTTCTGAGATCAGAGCTTAGCAAGGTCAAAACAGCTGCTGAGGAGCTCAAACGTAAAAATGAATCTCTTTCCGAACTGAAAGAGCGAGATGTTCGCAAAATATCTCATGATGCTCGGAAAGAGGTTAAAGGAACCGGGCAAAAGTTTCTTCTTGCTGTCAGGAATTTATCACTGCTGATAAAGCTTGGAACAAACTTAACTCCGAACGTGATGAGATGAAGAGCAATCTCGATCTGATCAAGGAGATAGAAGAAGGAGAAATTAATTTGGCTGAAGAAAAGGAGACGGTTGGCGCTGAGCTCGCTGAGACTGAAGCTAAGCTAGCTACTGCTCTTCAGCCATATTTAGATTTGCAGCAATTTGCTTCTTAGTTCGCTGATTCCCCTCCATTGACCGAACCTAATACCGGTTTGTCTTTGGACGAGATGATGTTAACTGGTACTCCTCGTGCTCATTTTATTGAGTTCGGAACCAATGTTGACAAAATTTCTTTGGAACGAACTCAGGGGTTCTCTGGTCAGGATCATGCCATCTCCTCGATTATGGGAGATGATTTTGAATCGAGGAGCGAACCCCTCAGGATGCTAGCTCGCTTAACCCTGAGATGGTTCTCACAACTCAAGAGGCTAACGTTGGGGGTGCTCTTGTCTCAAGACAAGTAGGAGATGAAGGCGGTTCGCCAATGAATGAATGATGGTGATTGTACTCACCTTTTATGGAGAATGTCCCTTTAATTTTAAGACATAAAACTTGCTTTGTTGGCTATGGGGCCGTTTGTTACTTTTTTAGTTTTTTGCCCAAGGGGGCTTTTATTACTGTTTTGAATAATTTGCCCAAGGGGGTTTTTTAATTAAAATTTCTTTAGAAAGAAATATTTAATTTTGGTGGAAACCATCGATTTTACCTGGAAGGTTTGCAAAGTCCTCCTAACCGAAATGGTTTAGAATTATAGGAGAGATAGGCTGATCAGACCTACTTGCCTTTTTTAAAGAAAAAACATTAGAATTTTTCCTCGGTCTCTCGGTTGCGAGGTTAGAGCTCGGCTTACAAGAACACTTTGTGATACTTCGAAATGTGTTCGATTAGAAATTTTTTAGTGAGAACTGTTTGCTTTTCTTGAAAAGGACAAAAAAGGTATAATACCATTTATTAACTGCCCTTGAATTTCAGGTTCGAAATTAAGTTCGCCTACTAGGTTTTAAGTAATACTTGAATAACCTATATTTCGTAGGTCTTGTTTGTGCATGTATGCGAAAATCGAAAGGTTATAACTGTCAGATCAATAGATTGACGTTTAACTTTCATTTTCAATAAATACTCAAGTGAGTGCTTTTATATATTTTTTCTATATAAGGAGAGCAAGATTTCGGAATTTTTCCAATAAATCTTTCCTTCAGAGAGAACTTTGCAGTTCTTCTTTTCTAGATTCCTTATCCTAATCCACCACGATTCCCTTCGAGCGAACCCCTGTTTCCGACGGGGGATGGATTTACTCCACACGGGGTGGCCATTCCTTGTTTTCTTTCTTCCTTGTCTAAGGAAGAAAAGATCGAGTGCCATGAATTCATGGAACAGGTTTTACCTCGATACCAGTTATTTCAAGGTTTTACCCGATAAATTCGTAATGCATCTGTTCTTTGCAGATCACCGAAAGGTATGTTTTCCTCTGCTCCGAAAGGCAGCGCCTTGGAAGGAAACGTCGTGTCCTCGAGGACAGGATTGCTAGAGGTGAAAGGAAGATCTGATGTTTGTAGTCGGATGTTCATAACTGGGAGAGGAGGGGATTTGACTCTATTGTTCGCATTCTCGGCTGCCTTCGAAAACACATCATCTTTCTGAAGAAGCATTTGGACATCTACCAGAGGAGCCTCGAACCCAGCGAACGCGAAAGCGGTTCGTCTTCTGACGAAGTTCCTTCTGCAAACTCTCCTCCCTCTTAGTTATTATTATTATTTTGTAACAGATTATTGGGCTAGCGGCCCAACAACATTAATTATATTTCCCCTTTTGCTTTAAATTTGTCGATTTATTTTAACCTTATTTAATGCGCTGATTTAGGGAAATAATTTGCAATTAACTCAATTGCATTTTCCATAAAGGTAGTAATTTCAGATTTTGGGAAATCGTCAATTTACTCTCTTAAATGTGACTGAGTATATTTCGAATATAAAGTAGGTGTAGCTCATCACTTAATTTAATCAACAATAATTCTACAAAAGATGTTCGAGGAAGGTAATTCTTCAGAGAACCCCTCCGACTTGTCCAAAACGATAAGAGACGATCTTCTAGGAACGTCAGACGTCGAGCTTGTAAAAACGGAAGCGACTGGCGAACCAGAAGAGTCACTGTTGGGGTCGGATCCCACACACTTTCGGTAGGATCCATTTGGATCTGTCCACGTCAATATTACATGATAATCCTCTTGGATTTCTAGGTATTTCATTAGGAGAATCGAGCTCGACCAGCCGGAAGTTCGATTCAGTTTATTAAAGAGCTCAATCTTTACCAGTACGGAGTTCGCTCTAATTCAGCATACAGCTCGCACAGAGAAAGGCCGAAGCGAGGAGAATATTGTTCGAGGTTCGCGGCAGCGTCAAGACGCAGGAGTTCGGAGTCAACAAGAAAGAGTTCGGAAGATCCATGCGAGGCCTAAGATAGTTCAAATTCAAGCCGTTTCGGTCAAATTGTAACCTACATGATTAATGCGGGTCAATGCGATAATGAGCAGTAAATGACCGCATTGATCATGTTTTCTCTATAAAAACAACCTCAAACGCATGTGTTTGAGGGGGACAATCTTTTTACCTCTTACAATCAAGCAATACAACATACTTTCTCTCTTACTATTTCGCAAAGATCTTTACTATTTTGTTCTTATCAACTTCTTTCGCTTTATTTAGTTTCTTGGTTACTTTCCTGTTCAAATTCTTATTTTCATCCTTTGATTTTAGAGTTTTTTCTCCGCAAAAATACTTAAAGACAATCGAGTGTGAATCCTACATCCACATTTTGGCGCCGCCTGTGGGGACTTACCGCAAAACTCTTTAATCTCAAAATCTCTCTTTCTCAAACCAAGAAACTATGGCTGATCAACAAGCTTTAAGCAATGCAATTGCCTTGCTTACTCAGTCAACCACCGATCTGACCAATCAGATGGGTACACTCACTAGTACCAACGCCACTTTTGGTGAAAGGTTAAACTCAATTGAGCAAACTTTAACGAGTGTTCAAACCACTTAGACAAATTTGTCAAACGCGCAGAATACTATTTCAAGCCGTTTAGATAATTTGTCCTCAGCGCGAACAACAACGTATCCGCGCAGGCTATTCCAGACTCCCGCGCAAAATAGATCCGGGAGCACTCAAACTCCTCCTACATGCCGTCCTGCTAATACTAGCAATCAGACAACCGTAGGAGAAGGGTCCAACCCAACCGGGGATGAAAATCCCCAAAATCAGGGAAATCTTGCTGTTGACGAAGGACTCCTTATGAAAGATCCTGATGTCATCCTTTCAGATGATTTCGTCAAAGTTCGTCAAGAACTTGATGAGATGAAATCAAAGTTTCATCAGGCGACCAGTTCGGCACCTGAGATTGATCGAGTAATCGAAGAAACTCGACGAACACCCTTCACTTCGAGAATCTCGAACCTTCGGATGAAAGATTCTCGAAAGGTCAAATTACCAACTTACGATGGTAAAGGCGATCCTAAAAATCACCTCGCTGCTTTTCAGATCGCTGTTGGCAGAATTGATCTAGAACCAGACGAGGAAGATGCTGGATATTGCAGACTATTCTCCGAGAATCTTTCCGGACCGGCTCTGTTATGGTTCACTTAGTTAGAGCCTGAATCTATTGATAGTTTTAAGGAATTGTCCTCCGCATTCCTAAAACAGTATTCCATGTTCATGGAAAAGGCAACCTCTGATGCAGATCTATGGAATTTAACCCAAGGTTAGAACGAATCACTTGCAAATATATCGCTAAATTCTAAGAAGTGATAGCCAAAATTCATGGGGTATCGCACGCCGCTGCCCTTTCTGCTTTAAGAAACGGACTCTGGCATGAATCTCGGTTCCGGGAAGAAATCATTGTCAATCGTCCGAGTACCATCCAAGACGCTTTATTCAGAGCTACTAATTGGATGGAGGCAGAAGAAGAAAAGCTTAGCCTCGCTAAAAAACATCGGCCAGCAAAATTGGTCGCTGGAAATCCAACTAAAAAGTTCGAACCAAAAGATCAAAAATGGTTCGGAGTTAATCCTGCTACTAATGCCGTAGGAAAACCCTCTCCAAACAAAGGAAGATATAATTCTCCTAATACCTGGGTTAGAGATGAGAGTGCCTATTACGATATCCATAGAGTAAATGGGCATTCCACCAAAGATTGCAGCGTACTTAAAAAGCACCTCACCGAACTGTGGGCGGCTGGAGAGCTCGCTAATTTCAATATCGAGGAATTTGTGGAATCTTATCATAAAGAAAAAGAAGATCCCGAAGCGTCTAATCCTCCTGAAAAGAAACATAAGCCCAATGGGCCCGGAACTCCAAACACTCCTAAGAAAAGGATCGATGTTATAATGGGAGGATCCAAATTATGCCGAGATTCGATCAGATCAATCAAAAGGCACAAGAAATCAGCAGCAATTCAAACCACTATGGGTTTCCAGTCAAGTGAACAAACACCTTCTATCTCTTTCGATAGTTCGGATACTCAAGGATTAACGGGACCTCATGACGATGCTCTTGTGATAACATTAGATGTTGCGAATTTTGAAGTAACTAGGTGTCTAATTGATACTGGAAGCTCAGTAGATCTCATATTTCTAAGCACTTTGCAAAGAATGGGAATCAGTAAAGCTGACATTATCGGTCCACCGGCACCATTAGTAGCTTTCATGAGTGACACATCTATGTCCTTGGGGAACATAAAACTACCAGTGCTCGCTACAGGGGTTCCTAAGATTGTAGAATTTATTGTTTTCGACCGACCGGCCGCTTACAACCTAATTCTCGGAACTCCTTGGATTTACCAAATGAAGGCTATACCTTCAACTTATCACCAATGCGTGAAATTTCCTACTCCTGCAGGAATCGGAACCATTCGAGGAGATCAGGAAACGTCGCGATCTTGCTACCTCATGGGACATCGTTTAAAGCTCAAATAGCAATTAATGATAAACACGAAGCAAGAGAGCACCTCGCGTTACCCAAGTGGTCTTAGCTCGAATGAAGTTACCACAGAGATTGAAATTGATCCCAAATTTCCGGATCGAAAAGTAAAAATCGGTACTTCTTTGGGTTCAGAAATCAGAGATCAATTGGTAACTTTTCTAAAAGAAAATAAACATACTTTCGCCTGGTCGGCAAA